CCCCCAATGTGGAAAAGCAGGGAGAGCCATCCCCGGAGATCTCTCCACCAGAGTGTTTGGAACCTCCCTCACTTGCTGGAAAGGAGGGAAAAGACAGGAAATCAGTGTTCACAGTTGGGTGGAATGGGGTAGGGGCATTAATGATTTGTATCTCTTGCTTATTTTATTTGTTTATTTAAAATATCTCACCATACCTTTTTGGTCAAAGGACCCAGGGCAGTTTATAGTGTTAAACAGCAAACAATTTAAAGGCAAACACCAATAAATCATTACAATATTTTAAAAAGAATCAAACAAATAGATCAGACCTCTCCAGAAATGGGCACAACTGGTGAACCAGTTTCAACTGTGCAAAGGCACTCCTGGCCACCGCCGAAATTTGGGCATCCAAGCTCAGAGATGAATCCACCCACGCGTCTGTGTTTTGAAGGGGAGTGTAAACCCCCATCCTGCGCAGGCTGTATCTTTTGTCTGACCACGAGCATCTCTTGTCTTCTCCGGATAAAGTTTAGGTTTATTCACCCTCACCCCATCCATGACTGACACCAGACACCAAGCCAGAAGCAAAGCTGCCTCCTCGTATTTAGACGGAAAGGAGAGAGAGTCGGGTGTCATCTGTATGCTGGCGACACTGAACCCTGAAACTCTGGACAACCTCTCTCGGCAGTTTCGTGCAGATGTTAAATACCATGGAGGACAAAAGGGAACCCGGAACACTATTTTCTCATTTCTCCCCTCCTGGAAGGACTGGAGCCACAAGGATTCTTCAGTATCATGGGATCCAAGGAGGGCTTTTTACAACTGCCTCCTTTAATCTGCTTGGATCCGACCCTGTTGCAAGCAACCATTCTCCACGCTTCCTACCCCTTTGATCAGTCACTCTCTGGCAGTGTTTATAAGCCAAGAAGGGCAAATGTGCCATAGACCAAGCGTTAGCCTTCACTTCTTTCTGGGTCCTGTCCACACCTTGAGGTTGCAAAAACCAAAACTTATTCATTTACACAGGACAACCCCCTCCCAATAATTCTCCTCAACTGCTCTCAATGGCTAGGGCTGATGGGAGATGTAGTCCAACAGCTTCAGAGGCAGCCTGAGGCTTGAGATTTAAACACAGAAAGAGGAAAGCTCTACTCACTGGACGCTGCTTTGTAGCCTTCTTGATGTTTCTCTGCAGAGACAGAATCGGAGAGTTAGAGATGAAGGCTGTTCCCAGAGATCATCCAAACCTACCCCTGGAGGCAGGGAAGGAAGGTCTCCTGGTAGCAACAAACGAGGTGGCGCTTCCCATGATACTCTGAGGAGGGGAGATCTGGGGTGTCCCTCATCATTTGGCAAGATTTCAAATGAAGAACCCCCAAAGCCTGACTTTAGCTTGAGGCACGTGGGGATCCCTGGGAAACAGGAGCAGACCCGAGATGCTCATAAAGAGCCCTGAGGGAAGGTGTAGGAAGAGAGCAGGGAAGCCCAGGCCATGGGCCTCCTCTCAATCTTCCCACTGAAGGGAGACTCCACAGGAAAACGCGTCCCTCCAACCATACAGAAACCTCCCAACCAAGGCATCCACTCCTTGACTTACTGATGTAGAACCAGGCGCCAGCAACCCAAGTCACGATCAGGAGAGCCACAATGACGCACCCAATAATGACGCCCAAGTTGGAAGCTGAAACTGAATAGGGAGAAAGAATGAAATAACTGAACACGATCCCAGAACCCTCCTGCCCTGTTCAGAAGGAGATGAAAACTGGCTAAAGGGAATTGGGGAGCCCACAGGGTTAAAAGACGCTAAAATGAGTGAGAGGGATGGAGATTTGAAGAAGGCGGTCGCAGCCCCCAAACCCAAGAACGTTCCTCAACGGGGAGGCCCATTGGGCATGAAAAAGGGGCCAAGATTTCTCCTCCGGAACGCGGCCAGAAGCGAGTGCCTGGCTGTGCATCTCGTCTGTAGCACGTCAAAACAGCAAAAGGTGGCTCTCCTAAGGACTAAAAATGTTTGCCATAAAGGGGCTGAATAATTTTGAGACTGCAGAATTCATTACAAGTTGCATTTTCAGTGGAATTTGGGAGAATCACTTCAAAATATTGTGGTGAGCTATGTGAATGGCTTTTGTTTGATTCGTTCGTTGCAAACAGCAGAAAGTTTGTAAATTTTGACAATAAACCTGATTTGCAATGGGGAGTTTAATAAATTTGATTGCAATTGTAGATTGCATAGATGGCGCCTCAAGCTCCCCCCCCCATGAACTGTCTATCAGATTTGCGGCACCCTTGTAGAAATGAATCATGAAGATAATGGGGGAGATGTTGGAGTTTTCCATCTTTTCTAACATGTTTATAGTGGTTTTTGGATGTTTTTATTCATTGCTGTTAATTTCTATAATTGTTTAATTCAATGTATTTTTATCTGCGTTTTTCATTTTTAAATGTCCTTACATTTCTCTTGAGTCCCTTTACTTTATTATATTCAGAAATTCGATTGGAATCCATGACATTTATGCTAAAATAATATTAAAGATACCACAATTTATTTTTAATTTTTTTTGTAACTTGCAGACACATGATCAGATCACAGCGACTTAGGCTTACAGGTGAAAAGACAGCAAGCAGGCTGTGATCACAACACAGTAAGTTTTGTTTGGAGGGAAGGAATTGTCAAAAGGGATACAATGGCAAAAAAAAGAACAACCCAATTGAAATCACATGTTTTTGGCAGTGAGGGTCCTATTGGGGGGGCCCTCTTGCTGTCCCCACTGAGAAGGCAGCTTCTCCTCCTCCCCTCCTGCCACTCACCAGGCGCCTCCCAAGCCAAGACCAGAGGCTCCCCCAGGCTGGCATGGTCCACGTGGCACCGGTACTGGTCTCTCTCCTTGGGGTCGATCTCGATGCTGAGCCAGGCATGGTAGGTCCCGTCTGGATAGGGGGCCACGCTCCTGTGGAAAGTGCCTTCCTGCAGGACCTCTCCATCCTTCCTCCAAGTGACGTCAATCTCCTTGGGGTAGAAGCCGTAAGCCTGGCAGACGAGGGTCTCCCTGTCATCGTAGCCCTCCTCTCGTGTCACCTTCCCCACAGGAGGATCTGCAAAAAAACAGCAGGGCTGGAATGAAGACGGAGTCCCTTCCTGTGCCTGGCAGGACAGTGGCTTGGCTTATGATCCCGTAGGACTCGCCTGTTCTTCCCCACAAATCCCTCCCCCGGAGGACTCATGAGAGATTTTCTTTTACAGCGAAAAGGAAATGAATGAGCAGGGCTTTTACTGGTATCTTGAAATGATCTGAAGAGACTCTGCAGACAAAAATTCGCACTTCTGGGAACTGGCCAGGGCATCAGCCCCAGAGACCAGGCGCGAGAGGCAGAAATACTTTGTAGCCGAGGGGCCAGCAAAACCTCCTGAACTAGGATCATCTTCCTTATCGCCTTCTAGGAAGTTTCTCTGTGTCTTCTGCTCTTTGCTCTCTCTCTCTCATCAGTTCCTTCGCTGGCATTTATTATTCAATATATGTAGTAAATGAAGCAGAAAGTCCCAGGAGAAAGAGAAACATTTACAGCCTTCTGAGTAGCTCTCTCAAAATTAAATAAATGAAATCTCTCACTGCAGATTTACGTGGACTAGAGATGCCCTAAATGTTCCGATGACATCCAGCCAGAATTTCCAAGGACGCTGGGTGGTTTTTTGTTATATTTGTAATAGCAAATGCCCCCACTGTTGTTGCCTTCCTCGTGAGAGGCAGCCCCGGCCATCCCCACAGAGTATGTCCTGCAGTGGGCAAAGGGACTGAGCCCCCAGAAATTGCGGAAGAAAAGGAAATGAAAAATTCTGGGAACCAGTGTGGTAAAAGAAAAGAAAAATTGCAGAAGGGACCAAGAATTTACAGCAGGATCTCTTCCTGTCTAGTGGCCAGTCCTGATAAAACATGAGGCTTTTTTCTTTCTTCTAATATTTTTAATACAGGACAGTATTTTCAGATCATGGATAACTGAATCCGCGGATATTGATCCAGTGGATACTGGGGTCCTAATATCATTGTGTTTTAATCAGTATACAGTTTAATTGTATTTTAATGTTTAATGTTGTTAATTCTATTCTTTTAATTTTGTGAGCTGCCTTAGGTCCCCTTATCAGGAGAAAAGCAGCCTATATATAAAACAAATAAAATAATAATTAAAAGGCAGACCACACATCTCCGTGGACTGAAGCAATGTTACTTAAACCTTTCCCATTAAACCATCCAGCCCAGCCCCAGATCCAAAAGGGAAGAAGAACCTCCAGGGAATCAGGGGGGGGTCCCCTCTTTCTTTCCCTGGGAAACTCAGGGCGGCCCCACCTTTGCCCTTCTCAACCCCAGAAACATCTGCCATCATCCTCTCTCAAGTGCTGGGAGCTAAGAAGGAGGAAGGACCAGGGGCACCCCTGGGCAACCAGAAAGGATTGGGGGGGCTTTTTTGGTGGGGTGGGAATGAAATCCCAAGGGAGGTGAAGGGAGGAAGAGGGAGGAAGGAGGCCAGGCTTTCCTCAGACCAAAAGAGAAATCAAGGACTGAGTGGAGAAGGCAGGGAAGGTTTTTTTGTCTGTCACGGGGAGGATCAGGTCCAACCCCCTCCGCCCCCCCCAAAGCCACCTCCTTGGGAAGAAGGCAGGAGGGGAGGGCAGGTTGTGCCGGGGGGAAGGGAGGGGCAGGAAACGGTGGACTGTTGGTCCCAATGAAAATAAATAGGCGAGTAAATAAGTGTCACACAACAACAACAGAACACACGCACCGGTCTCAAGCCACATCTGTCTGGTTTTACTTCTGTAGATTTTCAGGTCAGAAACATGGAAATGTAGCCAAAACTGCATCTCAACACAAACAAACACAGACACAGACCCGTTTGAAGGTGGTTTGGTCCCAGGCTCCTATGGCCTTTTCTGAATATTGGGGGGGGGGTCTCCCCAGGAACTAATTGGGGGATCTCCATCCCTTCGAAGGGAAGGGATGTCCACTTTTCCCAAGGCTCGTATTTGGAGGAAAGACTCTCTCTCACACCCCCAAATGTCCCCCCCCCGTTCGCTCACCTCTCCTGAGTAGCGTCTCCTTCCCATAGTCCAGGTATCTACGCAGCCACTCGATGCAAATCTCCTCCAGGTAGCCTTTCCAATACGGGGCAATGGCCGGATCCTTTTCCTGCTTCTCTTTGCTGATCTGGGCCTTGGAATCAGCCGCCGTCCAGGTGAGGGTCTCCTTGTCGAGGGCGAGGTAGTCCCTCCCATCGTAGGCGAACTGGTAATGTCCTCCTTTGCTCCCGCTCGCCCTCAGCTCACAGCCGTACATCCTCTGCAGGGAGTGAAACCCTGAAAATAGGCACACGGGTTTGTGTGTGTGGGAAAGAGATGCAGACCCTGAGGGGTGAAGAAAGGGGGACTTCCTCCCACAACCCCCCAACAAACGTAAAGCCCCTCCAAAGGGGTCTGAGTGGAAAGATCTCCCTCTGGCAAGGCCAGCCCCTCCCCAAGAGACCATCTGAGCACTGGGGGGTGAGTTGGGGGGAGACACTCCAGGGGAGGAAAGGCCCTCCTTTCTCTTTCATGCATCGCTTGGTTTCAAAGACATCAGCTCTACCCTTCGCTTCAAAAATGACACCCCCCAAACCCAAGAGTCAGGCAATATCCCAACACAGCCCCTGAGGAAATTCTCTTGGCCACCTGGATGGGGATGAAGCCACACACCTTCCCCATGGAAGACACGCTTGACCCCCCTTCCCCACAGCCACCCACCCAGAAGGGGATTCAGCAAGAAATTCCCCCTCAACATAGCACCAGCCCCCCATGGATGTCCCCCCGCCTCTCTACCCCCAGGCATCTCCTCCCCCATAGTCTGGACGGGCAAAGGGGGGCTTGCGGTGCCCATTTCACCACAGCCAGCTCCCACCTGCCCAAAGCAGCCCCCTAAATCTGGGGTGTATGTGTGTGGATTTCCCCATTCCCCCAAGCCACCAGCCCCCTGCCCATGGCTCCCCACCCTGGAAGGGCTGGCCCTTGGGGTCCTCCCTCCCTGCCACCTAGGGAGCCCCCCAGTCTATCTTGGGCATACTGGAAAGGCCCTCCTTCCCACCCATCTTGGCCCAGTCTCCCTCCAGACAGCCAACGGCAGGGAGTGAAAACCTGAGAAAGGACCCACAGAAGTGGGTGGGGGAGCCTCGGGGATAGTGAGGTGGCATCTGTCCCACTGCTCCACACCACCCCTTCCACCTCCTCTTGCACCCCACAAAAAGGGCCCAAATGGGGTATTTTTCTACAAAAGGAAGAACCACACTTGTTCTTGGAAGTGTCTGGCACCAAAGGACGGAGCCCCTACGAGAAACCCAAAAGAGGCAACACAGACATGTTCCGCCTCATCAACTGACTTGGATCAACAAGAAACACATTTCTTCTGAATAGGATGCAGACGCTACAAATCCCCTCCAGCTTCTCATTCGCTCCCCCCTCCAGGACCAAATGGACCCTCTCTCCCCACCCAACAGATTCCCCCCCAAGGATCCTGCCTCCACATCCACTGGGCCCTCCCGTCAATCCCAAGAAGGACGGCCAAGATTCACCCCCTCTGAAAACTGAAGAACAGGCAGAGCTTCGTCGAGGTGCTGCCAGCAGCCCCCAGGGAACAGCCCCCGGGAAAAGCTGGAACTGCCCAATCTGGGGTACCTCTAGAAATGGAGGCTTGAAGGGGAGACCAGGAGAGGTCTCTCTGAAGCAGTTGGTGAGCCCCAGAAGGAAGAAGATTGGGTGGCAACCAGATTTTTCTTCCTTCTGAAAATTCACCCGAGCACAGATCAGAGACGGGAGCCATCTTGGCAGAATAGCTGTGAGCAACTCCACCCCCACCCTCCGAGGAGAGAACAAGAAATAAGGCTGAAAATATACAATAACAAAGTAAGTTGAAGCCTTTGATTTATGAATAACCTTATTAAGATGAAAAAGAAATTAGAGTGAAATTACTTGACCGAAAGAAGATAAGGAGCGGTGAGTCTTGCTTGCCAGCCTACTTCTTCAAAACGAAACTGATTCTTAAACAGCAGGCTAGCTCAAGGTTGAAGTGAGAAACAGTGAGACAGAAAAATTTTGTGTTTCTGGAAAAAATCCCAGAGAAAATACCACTGAACAGGCTTTAAGAGACTGAAATCTCGTGAATGCTTTTTAGTCCGGATCTCTCTCCCTAGACTCTATGGGACTCTGATAGAATCTTGCTGGGTTTTCGGAGAAGGAGGAATAAGCTTTTAGAAGTAAGAAAACAGACTGTGAATCACCAGTGAGACGACGCAAACTGCGAGATTGAGGAGCTAGGAAAACCAGGATTGTAGTTTGATGAATGGGATTTTGATGACAGAACTTTTGCTAGGTTTCAGAAGGAGGAATAAACTTTTGGAAGCAAGAAAACAGACTGTGAATTATCAGCGAGACGAACGCAACTGAATAGACTGAGGATCTAGGAAAACCAGGACTGGAGTTTGACGAATTAAAGCAGGGTTCGGGGAACTTTTTTACCTTTTACCCCCCCAAAAAATTTATATAGGCCGACATTACCCCCTTGATTTGAAAGGAAGGAAATCATACATTATTTGAATTAAAAATATTATTGAATCTACACAGGCTGTGTACCGAACTAACAGGATGCACCAAATTTGATAAAGATGTGCACTATTTTTGCTGGAACACATTGCACTCCAGCCATGGTATGGTATAGGGAGTAGTAAGGTGTCCAACGTGCCTAGCAAGTTGCATTAAATTTTTGCTAACTCTCAGAGGATTTAATCATCATCAGTGGCTACCAGAGTGGTACTAGCAATGACATGCTTGCTAGAGACAGCCAATGCAGAATTGGGGAGGGGGCTTTCCCTACCACTTTAATCATTCTATGTGTGGTGTGCAAAAAGGAACAAACCAGGCTAAAGGCCATGTCACCCACCCTGGTGCCATAGCCCAATATCAACGGACCAGTGTTTTTTTTTATCATCATCAATGGAAAACTCAGCAGTGGGCAGAGAACTGGAAAATATCAGTCTGCTTCCCAATCCCAAAGAAGGGCAGTGCCAAAGAATGCTCCAACTACCGAACAATTACACTCATTTCACACGCTAGCAAAGTTATGCTCAAAATCTTACAAGTTGGGCTTCAGGAGTATGTGGGCCAAGAACTCCCACAAGTACAAGCTGGATTTTGAAGGGGCAGAGGAACTAGAAACCAAATTGCTAACATGTACTGGATTATGGAGAAAGCCAGAGAGTTTCATAAAAACATCTACTCCTGCTTCATTGACTATGCAAAAAAATGGCAGAAAGTGAGGAGGAATTAAAGAACTTCTTAATGAGGGGGAAAGAGGAGAGTGCAAAAAATTATCTGAAGCTCAACATCAAGAAAACTAAGATCATGGCCACTGGTCCCATCACCTTCTGGCAAACAGAAGGAGAAGATATGGAGGCAGTGACAGATTTTACTTTCTTGGAGTCCATGATCACTGCAGAGGGTGACAGCAGCCATGAAATTCAAAGATGCCTGCTTCTTGGAAGGAAAGCAATGATAAACCTAGACAACACCTTAAAAAGCCATCCCCCCTCTTAATTCAAGGTTTCTGTTTTGCTTGCTTGTTCTTTTTCATAGTTTTGAGTCAGTCTCTTTCTCTCTCTCTCTCTCTCTCTCTCACACACACACACACACACACACACACACACACATCCATCCACCCACCCTCCCTCCATTTCCTCCCTCCCTCGGTCTCTCACACCTTTCTTCCCTTCTTCCCTTGCTTGCTCCTTGATCCTTTCCCACCTCCTGCTTGCTTGCATTCATTTTCGGAGGAAGTAGTCATTCAAAGCCCCGGTTGATTGATTGCTTGGGGCTATTCCATAGCTGTAGCCAATTAAGCAGGAGGATTTATAAGTGCTTCTGCAACCAGGAAGTAACAGGAAGAGGTGGCTTACAATTTGAGGTTTGGCTGCAGGGGCGGGGGTGGGATGGAGGGGGTAGCATTCTGCTTATTTTCACTTTTACCCAATTTGGGGTAATTTACCCCTGTTTTATGACCTATGAATTAAAGGATATCTATGGGAGAGACTGACTTCCTGTGTCTGCTGTTTAGTCTGGACTTTTTCTTGGCTGGACTGTGTGGGACTCTGATAATACTGCCATGGTTGTAATTTAAATTTTTGGCCTAAAAGTTGATCTATATATACTATAATATCTGGATAAGGAGGGGAGGAAGTACCCAGGGGAGGTTTATGATGATGGGTTTGGTTTGTTGATAAAATAGTGGAAAATAAAGAGTATTGTTTTTACTCACTGGAAAGATGGAAATGGCCTCCAAAAAATTAAAATATCAACTCTTGGGTACTTTGTCAGATAAAGAATGGCAGGTTACCATGCAAATGATAATAATAGCAGGATTTCAGCATGTAAATGAGCGTCTCAGCCAGATGGAAGATTTGATGAAAGAGAAGTCATCAGATGTTAAACAACAGTTAAATGAAACTGTACTAACTCCGGAACTGTTTTTATTGAGTGTGATGCCAGGTAACATAGATGGCATAAAGAGTTACCCAGTGAGCTATTTAGCTAAAACAGTCAGAAAATGTGATGTTAAAAATCCGATTACTGTCCTGGATTCATCCTTCTCTTCCAAAAATTGGAAGAAAACAGAGTCACGAAAAAAAGAGAAGCGTATTGAGAAAATATGGGAAGTGACAGAAATAGTTAGGTTACCTACCTGTACCTTTGGTTCTTCTAGTGGTACTCTGTGAATTCACACAAATGGGTTAATCCTGCGCCTGCGCAGGACATCCGGAAGATTCTAGAGCTTTAGGGAAAATGTCAATTAGCTCCCCCTGAGGGTATATAGGCTCCGCCTCCTCCGTCTTCCTTTCAGTTCCCTAAGTCCGCCGTTACCGTATAAAAATGGATAAACATGGTATCACAGAACGGTACTGTGACGGACAGAGGGGAGGAAGGGAGGGATGTGTGAATTCACAGAGTATCACTAGAAGAATCAAAGTTACAGGTAGGTAACCTAACTTTCTTCGTAGTGGTCTCTGTGAATGCACACAAATGGGTGAATAGGAAGCTGTACTCACCGGAAGGAAGGCCGTCATGGAAGGATGACAGTATCGCTCATCCAAACGCCGCATCATTTTTGGCTCTGACATCCAGGCGGTAGTGTCTGGCAAACGTCAGAGGGGTGGCCCAGGTAGCCACCTTGCATATGTTTTGTAGCTGGACACCTTTGAACAGGGCTGTCAAAGTGGAGACTGTCCTGGTAGAATGGGCCTTCAGTCCGTCCGGTACAGGCTTGTTGGCAAGCTGGTAAG